GACTACACCAGTGTTCGAAACAAGCCACGTGTGACTGTAGCAGTGTCCGAATCGAGTCACGGGTGACTGTAGCAGTGTTCGAATCGAGTCACGTGTGACTACACCAGTGTTCGAAACAAGCCACGTGTGACTGTAGCAGTGTCCGAATCGAGTCACAGGTGACTATACCAGTGTTCGAAACAAGCCACGTGTGACTGTAGCAGTGTTCGAATCGAGTCACGTGTGACTACACCACTGTTCGAAACAAGCCACGTGTGACTGTAGCAGTGTTCGAATCGAGCCACGTGTGACTATACCAGTGTCCGAATCGAGTCACAGGTGACTGTACCACTGTTCGAAACAAGCCACGTGTGACCGTAGCAGTGTTCGAATCGAGCAACGTGTGACTGTAGCAGTGTTCGAAACAAGCCTCGTGTGACTGTAGCAGTGTCCGAATCGAGTCACGGGTGACTGTAGCAGTATTCGAATCGAGCAACGTGTGACTATACCACTGTTCGAAACAAGCCACGTGTGACTGTACCAGTGTTCGAAACGAGTCACGTGTGACTGTACCAGTGTTCGAATGGAGCCACGTGTGATATACCAGTGTTCGAAACAAGCCACGTGTCACTGTAGCAGTGTTCGAAACGAGTCACTTGTGACTGTAGCAGTGTTAGAATCGAGCCACGTGTGACTGAAGCAGTGTTCGAAACGAGTCACTTGTGACTGTAGGAGTGTTCGAATCGAGCCACGTGTGACTGTAGCAGTGTTCGAAAACGAGTCACGTGTGACTGTAGCAGTGTCTGAAACGAGCCAGGTGTGACTATGGCAGTGTTCGAATCGAGTCACGTGTGACTGTAGCAGTGTTTGAAACGAGCCACGTGTGACTATAACAGGAAGAAATCAAAATAAAATATTTTATGTTTACCTATTAGGAAATCTAGAACAGCCATGTCCATAATATCCGCTAGTCGTCTACCGTCATTGTACACTGCTTTTTTCCTGACGACATTACAATAGTCGTCACTTTGTTCCCACTCTGCCTTTCGTCGCTTGTGGTACGACCTTCTCCACGGGTGGCGCCAAGCCTTCCTGGGAGCGAGTCTTTTTGGCGGAAGATGTACAGCAAAGCTACCCTCGAGTGTGTCTGGGTGTCCACAGATGGCGTGGCCCGTGTCACAGTAGTATTCACACTTACCGTGAAAACATACGTTGTTAGCTGTGGCGTTAAAGACGTGAAACAAAAAAAAAGGAACAGTTACGACAACGTACTTCACCTTACAGTTGAGTGATGTAACTGCGCTTGGACAGGGCGTAACCTAGTAATTAGCGTGCCTGGACTGAGGATTCGTGGTTCGCGACCGGTTGTCGCAAAAACTAATTTCGCACTCTGGGGACGGGAGCGCATTGTACGAGTTAAGGTCAAATTCCACTATTCGGTTAGACGAGCGGAGTCTAACAGTTGGCGGCGGGTGAGTATTGACTAATTGTAACTTTGTGCGAAAATTCCAGAATCAAAACAGAAAATAAACTTCTACAATGTCAATATTGCATGATATTTTCGTCTTTAATTTAAATGTACTGTTGGCGTGTCTAGCTAAAGAAAAACATGTCTCTGTGATGTGCGTTTTAGGGTTGCCGCAAGAAAGGAAAATCAGCTTTTTCAAATTTCGTCCCCCCTACCCTTAGTGGCTCAGCCGTACGTCTGAAGGCTTATAAAGCTAAAAACCGGGTTTCAATACCAGTGGTAGGCACAGCACAGTAGCCCATTGTGTAGTTTTGTGTTTAACTACAAACAAACGTTCTTTAATTTCAACTTACGTACAGGACACAGCGATGGTGAAATGCCGAAAGTTCGTCTGTTAAGATCTCGACTTTGATTATTCTTTGGACACGAAAATTTATTTAAAAAGAATAATAACAACAAGGAAACTGAGTACTGATTAATCTATATGATTATGGCTACTTCTGAGCCACAGGGGAAGAAGGACTACGTTTTTTCAGGGAGGTATCAACCAATAACTACCGAGTATGTGGTGATATTGTTACTTATGTGATAGCCGTTATGGTTGGTAGTTTCATGATAACAACCAACTTATGTTTCGTCTATTAAATATTGATTTATAGCGAGGAATCTAAATAAATGGCTTTAGAAAAAATATTGTACTAAATTATAAAACTCTTCCTAACCTCGAAAATATGTAACTACAGTAATTATCATACACATCTTACCCTGCTGTGATTTTATTACTGTGATAATATGTTATAACTAAGTTATAAATTCCGGTTGTTTAGGTATTGTCCCCTGATGGGACAGCGGTAAGTGTTCGGACTTAAAACGCTACAATCCGAGGTTCGATTCTCCGCTGTGGATAGAGCAGAGAGCCCAATATTTAAGTTATAAATTCCGGTTGTTTAGATATAGTCCTCTGATGGGACGGCGGTAAGTGTTCGGACTTACAACGTTACAATCCGAGGTTCGATTCTCCGCGGTGGACAGAGGAGAGAGCCCAATATTTAAGTTATAAATTACGGTTGTTTAGGTATAGTCCCCTGATGGGACAGCGATAAGTGTTCGGACTTGCAACGCTACAATCCGAGGTTCGATTCTCCGCGGTGAACAGAGCAGATGGCCTTATACGGTTTTGATTTTAAATAAACTAACTTTGGTATTTTAAGTTCGGACTGTTTTAATTCAAAGTTTTCAACACAAAATTTTCTTGATAAAAGTATTACTGCTATACGGATAATGTCAGATTTGGATTTCCCTCATAATGATCGGACGGTGGAGATCCATTAACTAAATAATAAAGTTAATAGTTCCGACCCGTAGCGATGGCGCACACAGGCCTAATTGACAATGATTATTCATTACCAAGTATGACTAAATATAAATGTATAAAGTAATGATTTAACATAGGTAGTATTATATGTGTCAGTTTACTCTGGTTAAAGATATTGATATATCAGAAGTGTCCGATTTTACTGTTTACGCTGGCTAACATTCTCTGATGTTTTGATATATCAGAACCAGAAAAAGTGTCCGATTTTACTGTTTACGCTGGCTAACATTCTCTGATGTTTTGATATAAAAAAAGTGTCAGGTTTTACTCTTTAGACATTAGATGAATAGAAGATGATCGTAGAATAAAGAAAATAAAATTATAGCATTTTGTTTACATGAGCGACATCTTACGGATACAATGGGCTTATTGACCAGGTCAGAGACCTTTACGGCCCAAGCATAACAGACCCTAAATTTGAACTTAGAAGCAAAGTTAATGAAACCAGTCGACAGTATCAGCCGCTTGAATCAGTTGCTCTAAACAGAATAGCGGGATTGACTGTCATGCTTATAACGCACACATAATCGGAAAATGCGAAGCGTGTTTGATAGTCTATGTTTGATCCTCGGAAGTCCATTTCGAAAGGCTGTATAGAAAGAAAAGTTAACATTTAACAAAGGAGAGGCACGAGCAAAATATTACACTTCGACCTTTGAGACGTTTGCCACGCCCACCATAAATGATGAAATCAAGTTTATATAGAAGAATGTAAAAAATCAAGTGTTCTATTGTTGTTTTTCACATATTTGCACAAAGCTATGCAAGACCGTCTGCGCCTGCGCCGTCTCTAGTTTTAAATTGATAGACTAAAGGTAAAGTAGCCAGTCAACTGTTGGGATCGAAAGGTAGGAACTGACTGTCACTTTTATAACAAATCTACGGCCATAAGGTACAGAGCGAGAATCCCGAGAGTCACACTACAGGCACGCTAGCTACTCGGCATAAATAACAGGATAATTTCGTGTATTTTATTTAACATTTAAATACCTGTTTAGTTTAAAAGCTAGAGGAAACTTATTCAGACTGATTGTTAAAGTTACTCTCTGAGTCTGCTCACTACTTGAAATATTATAATAGTTTTTCTTCTTTATAAAATCCAAACTAAACTAACATACAGGAATTTCGCGTAAGTGATCCCACCTGGTGAAATAAAAAACGTTTTAAGAAGGTCTGTTTCCGCTAACTCATAAATTTCTGAAGTAATATTCAGAATTCTTCCAACTACAGGCGGCGCTCGACGAAATCCTAAAATTCTAGAAAATAAACCAAAACCATTATGACAATAGTAGATAACAGATTTCTATCAATAAATAATATACATCACACCACCTAACAGCTAGCAACGAACGTTAGAATATATTAGGAACAGAGAAAAAATGTTATGAAACGTATTTAAAGTTTATTAAAAATACTTCACTGAAAAATCTGATTTTTTGTATGTGAAAGCCTTATAATATTAACTGAAAGTCTGCCAAATTTGGTGAAGATATACACACTATATTGAAAGATAGAAGTATCAGATTTGTAAAGACTTTAATCGAGTACAAAGAGGTCACACGATCAGTCAAATTGACCAAATATGGCCGTATAAAGAGGATACGTGGTCGGTCAAATTGACCAAGTATAGCCGTCTAAAGAGGTCACGTGGTCAATCAAATTGACCAAGTATAGCCGTCTAAAGAGGTCACGTGGCCAGTCAAGTTGACCAAGTATAGCCGTCTAAAGAGGTCACGTGGTCAATCAAATTGACCAAGTATAGCCGTCTAAAGAGGTCACGTGGCCAGTCAAGTTGACCAACTATAGCCGTCTAAAGAGGTCGCTATATTTTAAATTTAATACGTCATGGAATATCTATTCATAATTGGTAACTAACTGTTCAGTACGTAAAATACAGTACGTCTGTTAGGCTTAACAGACTTTCAGAACCCTTTTTTTATTTACATATAGGTCAGAAAAATACTTAATATCTTTTAATTTAAAATAGTCTAGAAATGATAAACATTCTTGCGAAGTGAAATCCATATTAACAATACGTTTACGTTAATTAAAAGCTATTTTACCTATTAATACGTTTACGTTAATTAAAAGCTATTTTACCTATTAATACGTTTACGTTAATTAAAAGCTATTTTACCTATCAATACGTTTACGTTAATTAA